ATTATTCTTATATAAAATTCTTATAAAAGTATTAAATTAGAAATATTAAAAAATCAATATAATTTATAAAATTATACATTTTAATGTCTAAAAGTCCCAGAATAAAATATAAAAATATTTAGTAAATAAATTAATTTTTAGAGATCTTTTAGTACTTTTATATGTAAAATAATTAATAATCACATTTAAAAAAATCGAGTTAAAAATTATACAATTCTATTTTTAAAAATAAACATAATATTCATAACATATGATCATGAAAAATCAATTTTTTTGGAAAGTAATTTTGCCGTGTAAAGCAACATACAACTTTTATCCAAATAGATAAAACATACTTTTAATTCGATTTATTCTGCAAAGATAAAAATAGTAATAAATTAAAACGGAATTATATAATTGGACATAGCTAATACAATTTTAAATTAATTGTATTATAATTTTAATTAAAGATGTACCTAAAGATGCGTAAAAATCGCTAAATGTCGACAGATGGTCCCGAAATTCGGATGCTGTACTGAGTGCCAGGTAAATTTGGCTTCTTCTCCCATCCGCTCCAATCTGAAATAAAAAATAATTTATATAACTCATTTTACATGATCAAAAAGTAAAATTTTACATATAGATTAGTATTATTATCTGATTATATATTAATTTCAATGAGATAAGTATGCGAAAGATATTTGCTGAAAATATTATTGTACACTCCATAAATATTAAAAATATAATTTTTATCAAACGTAGTTCTTATCTTTCGTCACAGATTTTGAATGACTTATAAATTGAATATAAAATTTTCAAAAATGAAAATTAACGAGATATTTTTAAAGAAACTATTTGTATATAATTATTATATGCAGATTGTTCCAGACATCACACTCATTAGAAGCAGATTTCTAAAATCATTTCAAAATATCCTGATACCTACTAAATGTCAAGGCTACAATAATTTTTAAATGAGAAGAGTTTAAAGTTAACCCATAGAGCTGTTGGAAATTTGTGTACTTAAGCATGACACATTAAACAGTAGTAATAGTGTCTTCAAATATTAATCCTTTTTTATCGAATTGATATTCTTGTGCATATGTCGTTATTTCTTATTCATATTATATTTACACATAAACTATTAATTAATAAAAAAAAAAACAAATTAAGAAGTAAATATTGATTTTAAAATGTGATCGCGCATCAAACTGTCAAAGCTGTCACAAAATGATATGATAATATGGTAAAAAATAGTAATAGAGTAAAAAAACATTTATAGATGATAAAAATGTACAGATTAATATATGAATTATAATATTACTTCGATCTTTTATTCATAATAAAAATAGAATGCATGATTAAATAGGTATTGTTTATATATTAATTTATCTAAAATCCATTTAAAGATCATTATATTAATCGTTTGAAAAAAATGCGACAAATGTAACATATAAGTTAATTAATAATAATTAATTCAGTGATAAGAATAAAAATAAATAATTTTACAATGCTTATTAATGAAAAAGTATTTGAATGCAATAGAAAATAAACTGCAATAAGAAATCATATGTATATCATATATATATCAGCTATCCAAGCCAGAACTACATATATTGAGAGTTTTCATTAGTGAAATGTTTATTTATAATAATAAGACTTTTTCCATCTTTTCCATAGAATCGCAATTTCTTTTTATTTTAATCCGTAATATTGTGAAATTGCAGATTAATTTCAAAATAACAAATATTATGTACGTGGAGCTATCTGTAAGAGCCACAAGTCTACTTCTTTTCGATTCTCTCAATTTATTTCTAATTGTAAAGCCACAGTGTGAGAGATTAGCGATAACGATAGAAATAACATGATTTCAACCTATCAGAATCTGTGTATTCCCATGTATCTGATTTCTGATAGATTGAAATCGTGTTATTCCTATTGCTATTGCTATTCCCTCGTATTATATCTGAGGCTTAAGAGTCTTGACACAACAGAATAGAAACCGGTCTCTTGAAATGAGCACAATACACTCCGGTAGTCAGCCCTCCGCTACCTGCTCCATTTTCATGTACAACGCGTATCTCAAAAAATGATTATTATCTCAAAATAATTTTTTTTTAAACTACTTTAAAGGTTAGTTTTACACACATGTAGAATTAAAAAAAATACAATTTAAAATTTTTTCCCTTAAAGAGGAATTTTTAACTTATTCAAATTACCTCACTTTACCTTACTATCACTTTATGCGACAGCTTTGACATAATTCGATACATATCACATTTCAAAATCAATACTTACCTTTTAATCTGCTGTTATCATCTATAATTAATAGTTTATAATTAATAGTTACAAATATCATAAAAATAAGAAGCAACTACGTATGCATAAGAATATCCATTTCGTATTTAATTCTCTTCGATTTTCACTAATATTAATTTTAAATAGGATATTTGAAGATATCACTATTATACAATATGCCATGCTTAAGCGCACAAACGATTGGCGACAGATTGATTTAATTAATTAACTTTAAACTTTTTCTCCATTTAAAAACTACTGTATCTCGATATATAGTATTAGAAATTTCTCGAATGATTTCAGAAATTTGCTATTAACGAGTGTTACGCAAAATGTCTGAGATATCCTATTGTTGCAAGACTATATTTTTAATATTTTATTTTTTAATATTTTAAACTATTTTAAAACTATTTTAAAAGTAACAATATTGAAATTCCCATGACAAATTCAAAAAAATAAATAAAAACAAATAGGCAATTGGGAATTGGTGACCAGTGCGTAATACGCTTTGGAAAAGGCTAATCTTCTAGCCTTCTTAATTATCACGCAACGATTACGATTGTATTGATGTAACATCTTATTTATTCGTCTATAACTTCATGGATCGACGATTAAGTATCTCTATTTGCTGAAGAAGGCCGAAATGTGTACATTTTATTTATGTAAGATAAAGATTTTTCAAACCATATTACGCACTGGTCACTATGCCAATTCCCAATTGCCCGTTTGTCTTTATTTTTTTGAATTTTAATATTTTATTATTATTATTTGTACTATGTAGTTATTATTATTTGTGATGAAATAGTCTTTATACACGTCAGGAATTAAAAGATGTTACCTCGGCAACTTTGATAAATCTCCCACGTCTGTTTTGTTTTACGTCAAGGTAGAATCTTTTACTTTGAATTTGCAACATTTTCGTCGCCAGTTCCTGCTCGCTCTGCTGGCCTTGCTGACCTATAACATATACAAATAAATACATTAATTTATTAAGCAGTTTACTGTTATGTGGCCTTAAATTAGCAGATTTAAACTCAAAAATAAAATGAATTGGATTATGTTGATTATTCCATAAAATAATTTTAAAATATTTCTTTTATTTTTCATCACATTTCTGGCACGACATCCTATTTTTTTTAAATATTTCATTTAATAAATGAAATACACATGTATAATTGATTTTACTTTTTAATCTAATAGAAATTCTTTTTAGAAAGAAATATAAAATAAATAATTGATTTTACATAAGTAAATTAAGGCTTTTGAAGAGTCGCCGCGACTCCATATTGGATCGTCATAAATGAGAAACACTTATTAAAGTTGATTTAAATGTTTAAGTAATCTATCTTAAGAAACTATTCTAATTAAAAATGTTTTTTCTCACACACATGCCCGATCCTATTTCTCTTGTTGGTTTCTTTTTCTAACTTTATTGATTTAATCATAGACCTTTAGTTTTATGACATCATAAGCAAGAAATAACACACTGAATACCATTTATAAATAAAGAAAATTTGGATGAAACAAAAAATAATGGGATTACTTTAAAACATTTATAAAAATGAGCTAAAATTATCCTTATTATATTCCCTTTCTCTTGGCAGTTATTAAATAATAGCAAGACATGTGGAGTGAAAATATGTATAACAGGCTTATAAGCCTATTTTTAACATTAGGATTTATTTACTTATTTTATTTATTTTTTAATCAAGAACTTTATAGAACAATATTAATAATTATTACTCGAAGTTTCAATTTATTCATTATTTAATGTTCTTAATTTATTCACACTATTTAATCCATTGAGTGATACAAAGGTAATACAAAGATATTTATATTTTCAATTTCAGAATAAAGTACCAGTTATATTTTTATTTTTACTGTTTCAAATTATATTCCTAAGTTATATTCCTAAGTTAGTTCTTACTTAGGTCTATTATAATTATTTATGTTACCGTATAAATTTATAATTATCATTATCATTTTTCATTATCATTACTATTAGAAAAACTTACTACGAAGGTGTAATCAAACGAAGGTGTAAAAAATTATACTACTAAAAAATTAATGTTATTTTTATTCATATCCATTGCACTAAACAAAAATTTTTTATTGCATATATTTTTAGATGCATTAAATGTCTATTGCACATAATTGTTAAGTAATTACATTGATAAACATTCATTTTTACAAATAATTTTTGAATGTTTTCATAGGATTTTTCATAACGTCTTTTTTTGTAACAATTAATTGGCTGTATTAATCTCATACTCATTTTTAACAATTAACTTTTGAAGAAACATAAATTTTTTTAATTTTCATTGTATACTTTTTAATGCATTTATATACTTGGCATATTTTTTTTTTACCTTTGTAGTCTTTTATTAGAGAAATCATGAAACAACTTTCAAAAGTTAACTGTCACTAAAAATATTCAATAACTCAATGTTTCTTTTTCTTAATGCGATAATCTTAACAAGAGTCGACCGTATTTAAAAATAATTTTTGTTTTGATTATTTTAATTTTAAATTTCTCAAAATTGTAACAAATTATGATTATTTTAACGCCAAAAACGGTATTAACATAAGAAAATTACTTAATAATTATTTAGTAATTAAGATATTTATTAATATTATTAAAATTAACGATCATTGGCTGCGTTTAATGCAGAAAAAGCAGCTTTGCAACTGTTGAAAGATTTTGTGTTAAACGGTTGCCAGCAGTTTATTATTTTCAAACATGTTACTAAGCAATCATAATTTTTTTCAAAACACATTAAAAATTGTCGTACAGCAGAAATCAGTGCTAAATGTATATATATATATATATATATATT